ACTCATCTCAGCAGGTTCCAAGAAGCATGGAACTTCCATAGCCTGAGAAGCGAAAATAGCCAGTCACCCTACCAGCTATGGCTACGGAACAGAGACATTGCTGCTGATCCCCATGAAGTAGGTTTACGGTAGCTTGCATTGCATCAAAAGATGTAGTGTAGGGAAGCCTACACTGCAAAGTCATACTGCAGAGTCATATAGTGGGGCTTGGAAATGTCAGAACCCCTTAGAACTTTCAATATTTCTGTATAAATATGACCTGAAACATCCTAAACCCCCAAGTCCTTTTGGCTTTAGAATGATAGTGCTAGTAATGTGATCATCTCTCATATGTGCAACATTGTTATTATGTTTCCTGTTAAACACCTCTGTGCTGACGTAGGAAAAAAAATATATTTTCTAGGTTGATGAGCTTTATGGGGCAAGCATGGATGGCCCTGACTTCATAGATGTGGATGGAATTGAAGTCCCAGAAATTCAGTTACCCCGTCAGCTTACGGCAGAGGAGCTAGCCAGACTGCCCAATCGTGATGTTCCTATTAGTGAAGCACTTGAAGTTTACAGCTCAACAGTAGAACAACTGGACTATATATTCCCAGGCTAATATTCCTTTTAGCTGCCTACACTACAAATAGAATGTAGAATCTAGATATTTTTTACAGAAAAATGGCAGGTTTGTCGTTCATTCACTAATGCATATTGTCATGAACCACTGTTAAATGTTTGAGCTCTTGTCAACTAAGGATTTGAGTCAAAGTCAGTGTGATTAACACATAAAACCTTTGAGAAATCAAGTTATGAATAACCAGACTGAATACACATCACACCAATGAATATAGTGAATCTAAAACATCAAAAACAGAAGTAACATTTAGAAATCTTTAAGTTTTATTTACAACGTTGTACAAGCATACTTCTAACAAGGGTCTCACCCTTAGAAATCTCAACTGTGGGTCAGGAACAGTGAAATGCAAAAATATTTAAAACCGGTTATAGCAGTACCATTACTGAACATTTCCATATTTGACTTTTAAGAACAAGGACATTGAGGGTGAACAACTTACACCCGTCCAAACCCAAACTTTGTGGACTTCACAGCTGCTCTAATTCTTTCTGAAAAATCAGAGAAGGTCCCACATCTGCTTGGAATCTTTAAAGTGGTGAAGCAGGTGGAGGCCACTGGAAAAGTTAGTTCCGACATTACTT